GTGAATTTTTCCCCCCAGTACTAATACAGAAGATTCAAACTCACCTGTCAATTTCATTCTGTACTTCATCAATGTGCTCAATTGCTTCCTGCTGCTCTTTTTCTGAAAGAACAAAGAAATGTTTTTTTTTAATTAAGGATTTTGGAGTTTAAAAAAAAAAGTTCACAAAATAACACCATTCAGCCTATTCGTTAAAGAGTATTTATGAAATTAACATGACATGCAGACAAAAATAACAATGCACACAATAGACATGTTACACCATAAATGTGAATTATATATTAATATTTTCACTGGACTGTGCACACCGCAGCATTTGATTTCATTTTGGTTTCATAAACTTAGAAATAGCAAAAATGTACAAGGTTAGTCTCGAATCCTTTTGGCCTAAGGAATGAACTAATTTAGGTAATATTCAGGAAAAACTGCCATGAAAAAATAAGAATATCTCAATATATGTCATGACAGAAAATTATATTGATATGCTTTTATTCATCTTCATCAACCCAGGACGTACAACTATCGACTTTTTTCTTTTTAAATAATAACTTGGCTGACAGCCAACACACTTTTTCGTAGAAGCAAAGAGACCGTCATTATAAAAAAAATATTTTTTAGAGGACTTCAGGAAACAGCACGTACCACGGGTAAGTACCAACTGAACGGAAGGTAACTGGGCGCATGTCTGCATTCCTAATATTTACAAATAGAGCCTGGTAGTCTGCCGTGTCAAATCAACTATATGCTGATAAAATGCCATTTACTTTTAGACAAATATAGTTAGACAAGTAGATGTTTTTTTGTTGTTTGTTTTTGCTTCCCTCGTACAAACCGGATGATACACAGAAACAAAATAAACAGACTTGTGAAGTTTCAACTTCGGCCAAACTGCAACTTTGATCGGTTCAGAACTTCAATTCATAGAGACATGAACCAGCTTAGCACCTCATGTCATTATATAAATAAAACTCATTGTATATAATTATTTCGAAAAAATGAAATACTGTCAAGAAACCAGGCTTTATACAGTCTGAACATGATCAGCGTATTTAAAAGTGCTATGTTGACTGGATGTTGAACAGACTGATGATGGTCCATGGCAGACAGACCCTGTGCCTCCTGCAGTTTAGGCGCTTCCTGTTACTGCTAAAGGCGGCCTGGTTTGAATGCGAGGCTTAGCGACGTCTCCGCTGTCTGCTCCCCTCTGATAACAACACACCACCCGGTCCACCAAGCATCCCTCCGCGTGCTCCACACACATACTGCCTAAATTCCCCATTTCCAATCCTGTTTAAATGACCAAGTACAGAAGCGCCGGTTTACCATATACACAGACACGATCTCAATAGACGGGCTCCCGTGAACGTTACCCCGCAGCAGCTAACCTTTCCGTTATCGCTGCTCGGCCTCTCTGGGAAAGACTTCTGCACTTGCTAACAATGAGGCCATTTAAGAAGCTACAGCAACAAACGCGTGTACGGAAATGTACAGGGACGTGCAGTTCCATCACTACTTCTCCAAGGGCAAACTTCTCAAACCGAGAACAATAACCACACATCCCGCTAAACGCAAAGTAGACACTGGCCTCCAACACGCTCCTCAACTAACGCTGGCAGCTAATTTAGGCTAACAGCTAGCACCCGCTCACGCTGCCTAGCATGCTACGTTACTGAAAAGCGCTCCACAGCAACATTCTACCCTGACGTGTATCTGCAGGAAAATATTAATTTAGCTTTTCATCCGCAATCACGCGGACCAAACCACGCACCACACTGAGAATAACAAAATCACGATAAACAAATGAAAATGGCGTTGTACAGGATAAGCGCCATTCCTTAACGTTACCAGAGGTCTCGTCCGCTCCGTCGTGATTTGAATTCTCCTTCCTACTGACTTTTGCCGATGAGGCCGACATGGTTATCGTTTGTTGTGACTCTTTCGACCAGACGTATATCCAAGGCGGTTCAAAACTCTTCTCCACAGGACAAAAGTTACTTCCACCTTGGACAGAGTGCGTGTCTCGCAGTACACGATAAGGAGGAGGACTGAGCGCAGCTTTGCACGCTCGTTTCTCTCTGCGACTTACCGTAGCTAAACATATCTGTGGTGCTCTACTGCCTCCGACTGGTTGGAGTCCGACACTACAACTTAAAGCGACAGCTTGTACAAAGAAGTTAAGCCTCCACTACCCAGCAAACCACCTTTTCTTTTAGTACGAATTTTCACGGCTACTTGATAATATATATATATATATTTATTTATTTATTACAAAAATAAACAACAACAACAAACCACACACCGAGATCAATTCTACAGATTCTCTCTAGGCTCCTTTTGTCCATGTGTTTCTTTTATCTGTTTATTTATTAATTTATATTTTTGTTATTACATTATGTGTAGTATAGTATGACAGACAGGAACAAAAAAGGGAAGGGTCAACAGCCACACCAGAATGCGCCCTGGAACCAACAAGTACCCTCACTCCAGGGAGGGCAGCAGCATCCAGCGGGGAGCAGTAGAGAGGGGAAACCCCTCCCTCCATGACCATATACCACAGGGGCCAAGGCTCAGCAAGTCCTCAGACCCAGGCCCAGCCAT